AAATATTCGTCCCTTCCCCTTCAGCTTTTTCAGGTCGACAAGACAATACACATAACGTGGTATTTCACCGCGCTATGTTTCGCGTGATAATGATTCTTTCGGGTATAAAACAACTTGTTAAACTGAACCAAGTCATATGTATTTCAAAAACCTTTTGAATAAACATTACAACAACCATTTAAAAATGCCATTAACATTTAACAAGTGGTTCAAAAAGAGGCAAAAGAATGAAGGTAGTTCAACAGATCCCCATGGAACACGTCTTAACACTATCGATCCCTACCTTGAAAAAAATATGCTAGGTTGCTACACTAACTTGGTTGATGACAAGTGGTATGATGTTCTGCGTACCTTGGAAAATAATCCTATCAATATACACACTGATCTCAAAGTTGCAGGGCACATTATTGAGGGCGGAGCGCATTCTACAAAGACTGAAGGTATGCGAATTTGGGGCGAAAAACTATAATGGGTTCCCCTTTACTTAAAACGGTGTGATTACGAAGTACTATGTCGCTGACATGGGCTTGTTGTGCCACAAACACTGTCTGTAACCTTCCAAACAAACACACACAAAGATGAACCAGAAGTGATTCGACATTTGATGAAGGAGATTCTAGAGATGGAAAAGGTACTAGTTGTTCATCATGTAATAGATGATCTTAACTTCCTGGGAGGAACGAAGGCTCAGTACTGGAATTTATTAGAAAATGATAAAATACATAGAGACAATGATTATACTGTTTTCCCAACAGTTGTCGAGGGGGAGGGAATACCTAAGTTTCTACCATAGACGTTGGACGTAGCAGTCCCATATTATTGTAGAAATTAAGCAAGTGATCTTCTTGATGATAGCGATGAAATGCGAGAAATGTGTGTCAACTGGGCCTAGATTATGATGCCCTCGGTCCCGAATGGTACGTACACGATGTTGACGGAGAAGATGGAGACAGTGACAATGAAATAGTGCCAGACAGCGACGATAATGGCGAATGACAATTTTTTTTTCTTGGGGTGTATGTTAAATTATTGTACTGAAGTATTAATGCTAAATATCAATAAGACTTAACACCAATAGAAACACAATTTTATTTCATACATTCTGCAAGATGAACATGTACATACACTTATTACAACAAATTATTGAAATACAACACTATGGGTATCCTTGATAATTGGGAACATTACATGAACTTCCACTGGGAGCTGAATTACTACCGCTACCCAAACCAGCTGAAGGGCATATATGACGGTCGTGTCATGTTTGCGAGCATATGCCACATTTACGCGCATAAACGGTATCACCAACATCCATTTGGTTTCGTATACGCGTTCTTTTTTGCACTTGTCGTTGACGCAAATACTCCTTGTTACACACCATTTTAAATGGTTTCGGCGGCCAATAATGCTCAGCACCCACTGGCTGCAACTGTCCACTATAGGTGTTTAAGTATGCAGCAATACTATATTCTTTATCAACGTAGCTGGTTATCGCGAAACCTGTATGTTGAAAGCACTTCATGGAATGTGAGCACGACATGTGGTAGATGGATATTTCTCACAAGAGCATAACCTTCTGGCTTCATCTACGGTGTGTGTACTATTCCCCCAATTTTGATGGATAGCAGTGCGAACTTCAAAAATATTTCGCTCGTTGCAATACTGTAAATATGAATGCCAATGTGCTCGCCTCCTGTATTTCTCAGATTTTTTCATTGGTATTGGCATAAATTCAACACCCTTTTTTCCATCAATGACGATGCACCTCTAGTCCTTTCAACAAACCTCTCCGCCATCTGCTTGAATGACATCCGCACCATGGCAGTGACAGACAATCCACGTGCAGACTTCAATAACCCGTTGAAAGATTCTGACACATTTGTAGTCAGAATTTCCCATCTCCTCCCACCATCCGCATGCAAAGTCCACTTGTCAAGCTCATGTCGCATCAACCAAAGATAGGCTCCTTGGTCTTCCTGCCTGATCGATTTCATGCGCCTCCTGAATTTACACTCTTAGTGATCTGTTGCAGCCATCTACATTAAATCATGCAAATCCTTGTTGGGATGTGCCTTCTGAAAATTGGCCTTCAGGTGCCTCACACAGTAACAGTGGTAGGCATACGGTTCCTACCATGCAGGCAAATTCTGTACAGAACTTAAAATACCGCCATGCCTATAAGATATTAGACAAATACCTGAACGTTGTCTGACAACGTGCTCCTTCAAGTGGTTCAAAAATAGTGTTCACGTCTCTTGGCTTTCATTGGCACAAATAGCAAAAGTTAGGGGAAATATACTTCCATTACCATCTACTGCAATGGCGATCAACAACTTAATATTATACTTTCCATATACATGAGTGCCGTCTATGGATATTATCGGCCGACAATGCACAAAATCATCAATTGTTGATTTAAATGCCCAGAACACATATCTGAATATATGTTCTGGTATTCTCGAACTCCGCTCAAGCTTCCATTCAACATCAGTCCCGAGGTTAAAGTGTTGCAATGCGGCTATGTACCTGGGTAGAGATGCAAAGGACTTATCCCAGCTACCATAAACAATTTCAAACGCACGTTTGTGCCCGAGAAATACCTTTCTTTTGGTAATGGAACACCCATATTCCTGATGAACAGATGTTATACACTCTTTGATCTTGTACCTTATGGACGCTTCAATGTGTGAAATCAAGACAAGAGAAATTAAGTCAACATTCAAGTTAAAATGATTCCAACTGAATGTGTCTATTTCACAATTGTGGGTGCCAATATATTTACCCACAACCCACATATTTGCTTTCTTCTTCCTCGCACGCAGCATCCAATTATAACCCGTAAACCATCTACGGCAAATAACCTTGTATACATCCGGAGATGACTCTGCTACCGTGATCTCACGACACTATTTTACGCTGTACATTCGCACCGCCCTGCTTAGGCGCGCTTTATCATGAAAAAGTATGCCCTTTGACAACACCGTTGCTCTAGATTCATCCTACATTGGTGTCCGAATTTAGTCAATATCCCTTGTGAGGGCATCCACATCCGACATACTTGACAAATGATCAAGGTAGAGAATCTCCCTTGAATGAAACGGCACGTGGGACTCGTACGCTCTTGGTCTAACGGGAGGTGGAGCATGCTCTCTCGTCAAATCAGGTTCAACATTCTCTTCCTCCTCATCATCACCCTTATCAGGGAAAGGTGTGTCATCTCCAGACTCATCGGCATTGTTGTCATAATCACTATTCTCTTTCTGACTCTGCGCATCTGCCAAATCCCGATTAAATATGTCGTCTTCGGGCAATTGAGTAAGGACAAGACCTTCAAGTTGCTCGTTTTCACTGCACAACCAACAAACTAATGAGTTACTCAAATTGATCCAAACTTTACATAAAGCTTTATCACTTCACTTACAAATCATAATGTGTTGATATCCTATGATGGACATTATCCTATTGGTGATGACTCCCGGATGGACCACCATGATCCAACACACCAAAACTAGGCATATTCCAACTGGGCGTTGGTTCATAACTTGTAAAATTCATATCTGACTGGTACCCCCTGTGGAATATATGAGTGTTAATACAAATTCAATACATCAAAAATAAACATCGTAACACAAAGGAAAAATGAAGTTTACCACTCGGCTTATGGATTATGTAAACTAGGGGAGAAATTATTTCCTCGCTCTTCATTCGCCCATGGAGATAAGTTTAGATCAGGCCAAGCTCTTTCACCCGGAACCTGTTCGGCTAAAACTGCTCCAAAATAACCACCCGATGACTGAGGAATATCCCTACTTTGCGCAATCTCATTATTGCGAACGTCTTCAGCCTTGACGTACATTTTCAACATTTTTATCACAAGAAAATTCCGGTATTCATCTGGAGTCTTCAAAAAATCTTTTAGAGTTTCATTGTCTTCGATGTTAAACTCAGCATAACAAGCAACCCCTTGCGAAGTGACAGAATACAGATATCTTCCGGTTACTTTAATATTCACTGAACGTTTGCTCACACTCATTTTTTTACATAACAACAATACCAATGTATCGTACTCCATTGTAAGTGACAACTTAACATGACACTGTGGAGATAAAATATAGCTTACTGAGTTATTCGCCACCACAACCTCACCCCCAAATATAATGAAACCCTAATTTTTCGCTCTTTAGATATTATGACAAAATGCAAAATAACTTAACGAAGAAATATTTCAGAAGATTTGAGAATATTTATGGATGGATTTTTACAAAATCTTTAACCTCTTTAAATAAGGCAAAAACCAGTCAGGGGGTACAATTATTTGAGGTATAGCGTCTTAAATATGGGCGCTATACCCAGTTAAATTATTGTTATATCAGTTAAGCCCAGAAGAATCATTGGCGAGCCACATAATATATATAGCGCGGTAAGTTAGGGCGTTATATATATAACGCCTTAAAAAAGGGTGCTATGCTTAACTAGGTAAACGGCCTTTAAGGTATAACGCCTTATAAAAGGGCATTATATATATTATGATCACCAGTTTTTTTCCCCACATTTAAATTTTTTAAGTCCAAAAGAACCACATTTTGGTTCCATCTAACTACCGCTCTGTCTTCTGGAGAGTCGAGAATAGTGCTACTATTATGTTTGTATGATATTTGACTTTCCTGTCCGTGTCTGACTTATCAAAATGGGTGACAATGGGAATCTTGAGCTGTTAAATAATACAGAATTGGCTTGTTATAGTTCTCAACTACTTTAATATTAATATAAGTATTCCCACTTCTCAATAATTGCTTTTAACTCGAGATGACGAAATAATCATCTTAATCCCTTTTATTCTTAAAATTTATCTAAATCCCAAGTGAAAGTCGCTATTTAATTAGATAGGAAAACGCAGAAATAACAAATATTCTTAACATTAATCTAAATTTCGTTCATTAGCTAGCTTTTGATATACTGGTCTCAATTTGCAAAGTAAGATGTCCCTACGTGCCTAACTGATGTCATTTTTCTAAAATAGTGCTCCAATCGTGTAACAGCCATACAAGAAGAACCGAAATCAAATAGATGGAGTATAAGACAACGCCAAGTGCTGCCAATTTTCTCTTTGTTGTTACTCGAAAATAAAAACTAAAGCAAGCTTTTGTGGATGCTCACTACTGAGCTGGCCCAAGAAAAAAACAAAAGATAGAATCTGAAGTATCAAGTGGTTGCTTAGCTTCTTGATCTAATTCCAGTAATTGATTAGAGGAGATGTAAGTGACTGCTGATTTTGAAGAGGAAGAGCCTAAATGAGAACTTCCTTGTCTTTTAACACTTCATTAAAAAGCCTCTTTCGGGTATTTGTCTTGATCTTACATTGCTCAGCAAAACCATTAGACTTAGTCCTCACATTCTTGGAAATTAGTAATTTCTTCTGGTATATGCGAAAGATGCTCCAATCTCCTACTTGCATCATGTTAACATTCTGCATATCGACGAACTAAGTTAAGTTTATATGTAAATAACACAGATATGGGATCGAACATAGGAAATGTCACGTTCATACCTGATCAGAGGGGGAAATTGTGACAAGGGAATATTGGTGCATAATCCAACGAGTTGTTAAATATCCAGAACGCGTTGCTTGGTAAAATCGAAGGGCTTTTTTCATCCCAAGAAGTAGCCGCTGTTGTTGTTGGTCACTTATTGCAGAACCCGAAATTGGAACCACAATTAACTGGCCTTGGCCAACGGCTTTCCAATAACCAGAACAATCCTTGCCACTGATCAATCTGCTGCACCCCTTGCTGTTTATATCTCCATTTGCTTTGCTGAAGAAATACCTCTTCTCCCTCAAGTCCCCTGCTATAAATTGTTATTCACTAATAAGTTTTTGCTACATAAAAAAACCGACAATGACATCTACTGGAAGTACATATAACATAGGATACACATAACTAAAGTTGAAAAAAAGACTAATCTTGTTCAAGAATTAGCAGGGTGACTTATTAATTTACCAGGCAAGTCAGAGGGAAAGGAGTCGAAAATATCCAGTATTTCAGGGATGATTAAGGCAGGCAAAGGCATAGAAAAGATCTTTCTACTCAAGTAGTGAGCCAATAGCTCTTCATCAGTGGGACGAAACCTAAATCCAATGGGCAGATTTAAGCTCCTAACTGTGCCCCCTCCACGTTTTGCACCGTCCTTCTGCTCCTCCATATCTGGTTTGAAATTTTTTCTCTTAAGCCAACGACAGCATCCTCGGCCAGCTAGAAAAATGGTAAAGGACTAGGCATTTGGGAGAGTGGGAAGGTTTGTCTTATGTATGTCTTAAGGAAGTAGAAAAGAAACAAAGTTGAAAGTTGACAAACACGGATTCCATGACTAGGACCATAACTTATCATCTCCAAAATTGACTCGTTAGTAATAAGTAGACAGTGGGAAACGTGTAATAAAACACACCAAGCCCCAATTAAAGAGTTCAACTTTCACCAGCCATCCCCCCAAAGTATTGTGTCATGTGCTCTACTCAGATTCCCCTCCTCTCAATAAGGAAAATGGTAATAAATTATTCAATAATCTGGTAGGTAGTGTGCACCCTCATGCCATTAAAAGTTTGATTAAAATATAAATTAATTCAAACTTCAAAGGTAGTTCCTCAATGGAGCTTCCATTTGTTAGGGCCGTTTCTCAATGTAAAGCCCTGCTCAACTTCAAAAGGCTAAAGCCAAATATTCCTAAAGCCTTCTTTTGTAGTAGTTTGTAATCTTGTTACGAACCATTGCACTATGAATTCACAGATCCAGTATTACATTTACAACCTATTGTTGTTTATAAAAGTACATTATTTTTCCTGATAAAAGTAAATAATTTGATATTTCACAGATTTGTTAAATTACATCATTCCTCCAATAGTATGGCCGGAAATACAAATTACATAGGGACATCACCGACACTTTTGACAAGTTTACATTCAGCTCAAGGATAATTTTTGATCAGTTTCAGTTCAAATTGCTCTGCGATTGACTACTATCATACGATGCCAAATAATTTTCTTTCTTTCCGTTCCTTAAGGGTAAAATAACAACCATCTCCCCTCTACTTTCGTCGGTTGAAATGTCACATATAGCTCGCTATCGACATCCATTTATCCTAAGTTACATTAGTGTTCCCCTTATTCTTGCTTTCTCGTGAAGGTAGATACGTCATTTGAAAATAAAGAATACGATGCACGGGGAGAATTTATTTTGCTACTCTGTGATTTTACAGCCGTACCCATTGTAACATGTAGATTCCTCTTTCATGATTTCTAGAAAATTTCAGGCCGATGTTCCCTTTTTTATTTTTAAGTTCCAAAAATTTTCAAACGACGATTTTATTTAGAAGAATTTCTCTTTGCAAACAAGAAAATATAAAGAAAAATACTTTTGTTATTAAATGGTACGTATAAATTAGACTGATGTCACTTAATATGTTGATTACACGTACTGAACTACCTAAAGTTAAGGTTAATACGCAAAACTTGCCCGAACGGATTCGGCTGAGAATACATATATTGATAGGTCAGATTGCGCAAAAATCCAATTCATCCATCCGGAGTTTGGCTTTTATTTTCATTTCTCTAACACACTCTCTACGAAGAGAAAAAATTAGTTTGGTAACTAAACAAATTATAAAAGATAAACAAACAAATGGAAAAGAATATTGGCAATGATAATTGCTTAACTCAATTAACCTAAGCAAACTTTAGAGATGTTCAGTCAGAATCAGTCACTGACTCAACTTGTTTTGATCCATCTAAAGTTAGCCCAATTCGTTTGTTTATTTCATTTAAATTAGTCCAATTGCCAATATTTGAGAAGATTTGGTTTTTCTGAAGGGTGGATAGATCTAGTTTGGAATTTCATTGCCAATGTTTGGTATTCTATCCCCATCAATGGCAGCAGGTAGGGGTGTTCAAACCGAACCGGAAAACCGCACCAAACCGAAAAGTCAAAACAAACCGATTAAAAAATCCAATTAGGTTTGGTTTGATTTGGTTTGGTATTGAGTAAAAAAATTCGAATCAAACCGACATATAAATATATAATTTTTATATATACTTCTAAGACTTTATATAGAATTTTCTTTAAAAAATATCTAGAAATATTTGGGATCCTCTCATGGGATGTAATATTTAATAGAACTATGAATTGCATCCATTTTTATTTATTTTAAATAATGGGTTGTATCATCACTTAAATTCTTATATCTTTTCCAAATTTAAAACGGTATTTCAAAAAATTTAAATTAAATAGATATATTACTATTTAGGTTTCATATTGATTTTTATATATAATTATTAAATTCGGTTAACCTTAATAGTATACATCAAGTTATTGTTAGACGACTAAGAAAATAACTATCACGTGCTACTAAAAAATTACTCCTATAAGAATATATTAATAGATCGTAAGTTTGTCATTTTTTCAAATCTTACTAACTATATATTCACTTATCAAAACTTTATCTACAATTTTAACAAAGTAAGATTGAAATAATACTCATGTAACAAAAAAAAACTCGAGAAACCCGAAAAAACCGACAAAACCGAACCAATCCAAACCGATATAGTTGGTTTGGTTTGGTTTTGATCAAATTTGAACCAACCTGGTCCATGTACACCCCTAACAACAGGCAAGGCTTCTTTCACTCCTCTAGAGGATTAAAGCAGGGGGACCCTCTCTCCCCAGCTTTGTTTTGTTTATTATTGGTGCTGAAGTATTGTCGAAGATGCTGAATCAGTTAAAGGAAAATCAACATTTCAAGTGCTTTTCTATGCCAAGACATGGACCACAAATCACTCACCTCACCTATGCAGATGATATCATTATTTTCTCAGTAGGAGATCAACCATCCTTGAACATGGTAAAACAATAGTTACTTAAATATGAAGAGTATTCAGGTCAGCTGATTAACAAAGAGAAGAGTTGTTTCTTGGTAGCCTTTAATACTTGTGCCGGTGAGGTATTAAGAATTAAAACCTTAACTGATTATAAACATAAGGAGTTCCCTATGATTTATTTGGGCTGCCCTATCTATGTGGGAAGGAAAAAGATAGCAATCTTCAATGATGTTGTTTCCAAGATCATCAAGAAGGTAGCAGGCTGGCAAGGAAAATTATTATCCGTTGGTGGTAGAGCAACACATATTAAACATGTTTTACAATCCCAACATATCCATCTACTAGCGGCATTAGAACCTCCAAAGACTACATTTAAACATATTAAGAGGTAGATTGCTAGATTTTTTTGGGGTACTTCAGTGGGTAAGCAGAATTTTCATTGGAGCTCTTGGTCTAAGATGTGCTGTCCAACTGAAGAAGGAGGCATTAGGTTCAGATGTTTGAAGGATTTCAGTGATGCTCTAGCTATGAAAAGATGGCGGAGACTTAGGATGTGCGACACCCTATGGTCCAACTTCCTCAACACTAAATATTTTAGGTTAACACATCCAATCGAGAAAGTTTGGAGGACAGGACAATCACATTGTTGGCGAAAAATGCCTTAAATAAAGGAGAAAGTTGAGGAGAACTTACTGTGGAAGATTAACGCTGGCAACTCAAGCTTTTGGTGGGATAATTGGACAGGTATGAGGGTGATAACTCATATTATCTCCTATGAGAACACTCCAAGAGGACAATATGTAAGAGATATTACTGTGGATGGCAAATGGCAGTTTGACCAATTGCATCTGCCTGAATTTCTAACAGAACATATTTTGAGTATTCGTATTGGTGATTCAAATGTTTCTGATTCACCTATCTGGATGCCATCTCCTAATGGAACTTTCTCTACCGCTTCAGCCTGGGGCCTAGTAAGACATATACAAGATGCAATACCTTTATTGCATAAAGTATGGCACAATCATCTTCTCTTTAAGATGTCCTTTTTGGCTTGGAGATTGTTGAAGAAGAAGTTTCCCTTTGATGAGGTTGTGATCAAATTTAGCCTGAACTATGTTTCTAAGTGTTGTTGTAGAGTTTCACAAGTCAACATAAATTTATGGCTGGTGAACTTGTAAGGGACTTGTGGAATATATTTGGGACTTTTTTGAATATCAGGTGGGAAGCTATCCCCATCAAAGGTATGTTTATTAGATGGTGGTCAATTAAGCCCAAAAATATTATACATCAAGAATTGTTGAGAATAACTCATATTGTAATTTGTTGAAAAATTCGGAAGGCAAGATGTGCATCAAGGTACAGAGATACTAGAATTTCAAGGGCTAGAATAAAGTATCAAATTCTGAACCATTTAAGACGGTCCATATCTAAACACCATTGCACCAAGGAGTGTCCTGGGCACTGGTTTGGCATCTGTGATCAAGTTCTTTCATTCTCTTATAAGATTGAATGCTTTATTGTTAAATGGATGAAACCTCTCTCCAACTAGGTAAAAATAAATACTGATGAAAGTCAGAATGGGAAAGGGGTTATGGGGGCTGGAGGTATTATTAGAGACTCTGAAGGCAATTTGATATTGGCTTTTGCATATAACATGGGAAGGGGCAGTAGCAATTTAGCGGAGGCAAAGGCAGCATGGCTCGGGTGAAGTGGTGTATTTCACGGGGTTTCCAAAATATCGTCCTTGAATGTGACTATATGGTAGTAATCAATATGATTAAAGGGAACACAAGCTTAGCATGGCAAATGCATAATATAATTTTGGATACTAAATAACTATTTCAACATGTGAATTTTGAGATCCAATATTGTTTCCGTGAAGCTAATCAAGTAGCAGATGCTCTTGCTAAATGGGGCATTGAGGAGAATGAATCCATTTTCCTCAATCCTAAAGATTTGCCCAGGTGTGCCGCTGGACCCTATTTGATAGACAAGGCTCAAATGACTTCAATAAGGCATAAGTAAAGGAGGAATGTGTTGTATAAGTTTTTTGTTTTTGGCACTGGTTTGTCTTGGATAAATTAGATGTACATGGGTACTAATCTGGTATAAGATCCTATGAGTGTTTATAACTTAGATTGTGGATCTTTGTACTTGTATATAGGGGTGGGCATATTTCGGTCAGAACTGAAGAAACCGACTGAACCAAAAATATTTTTATTTCGGTTTCGGTTATTCGTTTTTTTCGGTCGGTTTCAGTTTAAAATTTTAAAATTCAGTTTTTCGGTTCGGTTGTCGGTTATTAATTTAATTGGTTTGGTTAACCGAAAAACCAAATTATTAGAGATAGATTCTTTAAGTTATATATAGGCTAAGCCCATAGGTAATAATATATACCTAATTTTGAAGTCCATCAAAGACCCAATTAAGACTTTTAACTTTAACAAAACTTACCATTTTATTCTAACTTACCGAAATTTTGAAAGAAAACCAACAAATTCGTCCGTCCAATTATTACATAGAAACAACCTAATATGATAATGTTCAAACCGAAAATCGATTAGAAATAAATCAAACTGAAATTAGAAAACCGAACCTAACTTATTTCAATTCGATTTTGGTTACTACTTTTACAAAATCGAAAACCAAATAACCAAACCAAATTTCTTCAAACCGAACCGAGTGAACGTCCACCCCTACTTGTGTATGACCCTGGTTATTATTACAGTTTTTTTTTTTTTTTTTTTTTTTTTTTTTTTTTTTTTGGTTGAACTGAGGCTAGGTTGATGCCTTCGTCTCTTATGCTGTAATTTTTGGTGAGCAATACAAGAACTATGCCTCCTAATGTTATAAATTGTATATAAAATAAAAAAGTCCAATTCAACCACTTACCGCCCTAGTGTTCATAAAGCTGTTATCAAAACAAATATTCACACTAATAGTAGCATCCTGTTGTAGTAACGGAGATGGCACTTGGCAGAGTAATATGCACATGAAATTAAGAAAATAAACAATAGGAGTAACATCTATAGATGTGGAACCTTTGCTTCTTTATCTCTGGTTCAAGGATATTGTACAATAGTCGATTACAGAGGACCCGGTATGGCCAGAAAAAATGACAGAACGAGAGGTAGTAAAGGTTACGAAGAAAAAAGGAAAAAATGAAAAAGTTGAAGGCCATACCTAAATTTCTACACTAAAGTATGACAATCCCAGAGCGAAAGGGGTGAGCACTCAATAACGCTTGTAAACAAGTTATATGGCTTAAAAACACTATCTACAATAACCAAAAGGTGGGAAATGGGGAATGTCCTTGTTGGTATTTGACTGATTTGTTTTGACACACTAGAAATACAAACATAAAGTAGTGAGCAGGCATGTTATTGTATCAATTCGGGGATAAGCTTGAGAAGAAAAGACAATTCCCTTTGTGAGAATTGAGGTCTATTTTGAACTTTCTCCTCCCCTTCCAGCAAAATCTCATCTTCAACCTCCTCAGGCTTCTTCACTAGGTTACTCACAGCCTCTGTTATTTCTTGAACCAAATCCACAATCACCCCATCTATTCCCATCAGATGTTGCATATACACAGCTTCAGGCACGTTACTGAGACACAAAAAAAAAGAAAACAGTTAGTGTTCCTCCTTCACAGATCATTGATTAGTAATACTGATGAAACAACATGTGAATCAATATTGATTACTCACTTCAATTTGCCATATGTCATAAGAGAGAGCTTAGACCCTTTGATCTTGTTAACTGCTCCTGGATTCCTAAAGATTCCTTTGACTTCTGAAACAATCCCTTCAAGACCACCCTCTAAACACAGTTTAGTGGCCTCCTCCAATGAGTTCCTTCTAACATCATAGTAAATTTCTGTTCCTCCATTTGTGAGGAAAAATACCTGCAAGATTGTAATGCCAAAAGTCAAAATCAATTGAAAATAGTACTACTAATTGAAATCATAGCTTTTTCTAATCTAGTTTAATAAAATGGAACATACAGGGTAAGCAGTCTGGAGTTTCTTGACAAGCAGAGCAGCATCAGGCTGGAAACTTGAGAAGATAATTGGTCTGCCTTTAGCGTGCTCTGAGATAACATGTAAAATGGCTTGAAGAACGCGGACGAGGTAGTCTTGCTCATAAACAATGTGGTCATCAAATTTGAGTTCGATGTTGAAGCCAATAGAAGCGTTCACTTTCTCAAAGGCTTCTTTTAAGGTACACACTGAATCATCCGTTTCAACTGTCCAGCTAACAATCTTTCCATCTTTTGTTTTCCTCAGTAAAGGTTTTCCAGTGACACTCTCTTCCTTTTGAGGTCCATAGCTAAGAAATTCAGCAACCGTCAATTCGGTTACTCTTCTTTCATAGATTGTACCCTGCATAAATTACATAACTGCAACCATGAGAATCAAGCTCAAAGTACATAAAAGGAAAAGGTAAATCATAAAGAAATTGGAAGAGCTTACATTTTCTTGAGTGAGGATGAAGTTGTCGTGAAAAATGATGGGGCAATCATCCTTTGTCACCTACAAAAAACGACATTTACTTCTTTACTTTCCCGTCAAAGCCCAAGGGGCTCTTTACTCCAAGTAATCAGCAACTTTTTTCATGATACTCTTTACACATCTATTAATTTGCAATCCCAAAAGATAGCAGAGAAAAAGAGAGACAAATCAGTATCATTATAAAATATCATTGTAAATTTACTTGTGGTGAACATGGGAAAAAACATCGGGTTTAAACTAGCATATTATATTTTTTTAACCTAATTTTCATTTACGTTGCTGAATTTTTCTTAGAATTCTCGGGCAAGATCCAATTGCTAGGGTTTTGGAATTAAAGTAAATTGTCCAAAATCCCATTTACAACAGTTATTCAAATGGGCTAAAAAAGACGGACTTTTTTCCTTTTTAAAAAATTTGTCGTGACTATTACGGAGAAAATTTTATTGATTTTCGGGCTTTACGGTTTGCTACAGTAGATAGAAGGAAAAAAAACAAATATTGCACGCGGTGCGCACGAAACAAAATATTCGCCGGAAAACCCCCAAAAAAGAGAAGAAAAAAAAGGAAACAGAGAGGAAAACATTGAAAAAACAATGGGGGGAAGAGAAAGTATATTCCTACCTGAACGTCAAACTCGATAAAATCGATGGGGTAATTAGCAGCTGAATTGAATGAAAGAATTGAATTTTCCTTAACAGCCTTCATTCTCCGGTCAGAAGACTGCAACAAATTCATCCCGTTCCCTCTATGGCCAACGACTAAAAAATTCGATGGCTTGAACGATGTTCTTCCAATTTCAACCCCTGCATAAAATCAATATTCTGTCAAATTCTCTGCAAATCCACACAATGTGAAACAACTCAAAATAAAAATAGACACAAAACAAACCTTGAGAGAAGCGGGTGGAATAGAGAGCTAGAGAAGGTTTCTCAGGGACTTGATCTAAATTGGGAACATCAGAAACATGAACGGCTTTAAGAGCCATTGTATTAGAAAAAATAAAGAGAGAAAACGGGGAAGAAATTTTGGACAAAGAAAGGAGATGGAAATTGTACGAGAAGTTAGGAAAGATGTAATGTACAACAATGGTATTTAAGGAGGGTGGAATTGGAATGGGATCTCCATTGACACGAAAGAATATTCCCAATCCACAACGGGGTTATGCTTTTGGATATTCCTCTTTATCAATTCTCACGTAGATCAGACGCGTCCTCAACTGTTGAATTTCCTCCCTCTTCTCATGCTTTATGTTTTTTTAATTATTTTCCTTGGTGATCAAGACATAAATTAATATTAAAAAAAATCAAGACTTAAATTAAGAGCAATACATTATGAAATGTACCTAAATCTGTATTAAGCCACCCATCAACTTTATCCCTCTAGTTTTGCCACGTCATGCTAACTTCATTTTTTTTAATCACATACAATAATGTAGTATTATTTTAATGCACAAAAGGAAATAAAATAAAATCTAAAGAAAAGAATAGCATTATTAACGGCCTAACTTTGGTAACATAGTTTTTTAAGAGGCACAATATGCTTATCATATTTCTTGTCCTCAGAATAATATTGGGCTCGTTTGGTATAAGCGATAAAGAATAATTAATTTCGTGACTAAATATAAGAAGAATTTATTTTATATTTAATTGAGAGAAAATTGCGGTATTTATTATTAATTTTGAGATTAATTATCTTAAAATTATAGTATTTTTTTTATCCAAGGAAGATGGAGTTATCCTAAAATAATTAATCTCGAGATAACATATTTCAAACCAAATGACCCCTAGTGTAATATGTAGCATCTCAATGATTTTCACGATAATCCGAATATATCTTGCAAGTTGCATCAATCTCATTCACCATACTATTGCGAATATTACTTTTTAAGTTTTTTCTTCTTCTCCTAGCCATCACGCATTTGACATGGCTGAAACTTTTGTTATTAATATGCATCATAATTCTCACCAACGCTCATACCTAATCATCCACATTCCTATTTCCTAAGGTAACTGCAATTTATTTAAGTGGTTTACATTTTGAATTGCCCTTAACTTTAATGCAAGACCTTTTTCAACTAACTTCTCTGTAGTATTACAATTTAATTTTAATTAATTTAAAATTTTCCAAAATCAATATAATATTATACTCTATTCAATAATTGTTTATATTTTCCAGGAAAGTCAATTCAAGTAGAACATAATGGTTTAACGCTTTCGGCTATGCATGCATCAAGCCTGGCACAATAATTCTTTTTGGAATATTGTTTTAGTAATTTTCTAGACTATGATATCACTATTATTAGGCCACTTACTATAAAATGAAATGTAATTGTGTTGAATATTATCTATATTGGCTGGTTGGTAAATTTTGTGTTCGAGTCACGTCTATGTGTGTCTATTTTTTTCCTTCTTAAAGTTGTCTGGATATTCGTAGCGCACATTAGAAGGAAGAATATGCGAAATATATTCCAAATATATTTCAGATTCTATTTTCAAAAGGTTAATCATAATTAATACTCCTTCCATTTCATTTTGCATCATGGTGATTGACTGAGAAGGAAATTTAAAGAAGAATAAAATTTATGATCTAAAAAAAGTTTTATAAATCTATGTGAGTATAAATCGTCTTATTAAGTATTCATTAATAATGAAGTATAACGTTCTTTTAAAATAATTAAAAAGAAAAATATAAAGCCAAACAAAATTCTAGTATTGAGAACTTTCCAAATTGGCCACCTTTCAGCTAATTGCTTTCCTTTGGTGGACTTGGAGAAGTAGGTAGATATGTAAACGTGCTGCGAGTGGAAGAAAATATGTTATCCGTCCGATTTGACTGGTCCTCACGTTTGTTTCACGTGAATATCATTACTAGCTCTTCTTCTAGATCAATATTGATTGAAGAAAATAAAAATAAAGACGAGATGGATTTAATTTGAATCCCATCTGACCGAAGCAGCTTAGATCCAATTCTTCTTTTCTCGTTGCCATATTTATTTACGAAAAGGGAAAATCATCTTTTTTAGTTTTCTTTGGCTAAAAAATTTACTCCATTCTTTTATTAGCTTTTTCTTATAGAGAAATTAGAATTAGTGATTTTAGAGGTACAATACGATAAAACAAGCAGCTCTATCTTAGTATTCTTTTTAGTGCAATTTATATGACTTTTTATTACTGTATTATTGTTTACCCTCAAAATCGGATAACAATTGAATTTGTAAATGGTTTTAAGGATATGTGGTCTATCTTGATACAAAACGATATGTTAGATTATAATCGAAAAAAGTAATAGAAAAGTAAATACAAACCACACGAATTGAGTGATCTTAGCCCTGAAGAATTGATCACCCTTGAGCCCTGGTGCTTCGATCGATATCAAGACAAGAGAGACGAAAACTTAAAGAAAATAATATTAACTTAAAGAAAATAACAATGTATTGCTTTGGAATGCGAGTACAGTGTCTTCAATGAGTTACCAGACCCCTTTTATATAGTAGAAGAGTCCTACTTTGGCTACAATTATATAAAAGGTAAAGCATTTCTTGATTTGCTGATTGCCGGTTCCTTATTGATACGTGCCGAGATTCCCGCCGCAATATCCAGCCAGTCACGGTTATTTCGGTCTTCTGTAAGTAATCTCAACAATGTCTCTCCGAGCTCGTTCGAGGCTAAGGTCGACACCGGACTCACCGCTAGTCGAAGGCAGGCGTTCCGACCTCGGGTCCTAGCTCGGTGGGACTCGAGGTCGATCTNGGACTCGATGTCGATCTTTAGTCCTTGGTTGCCACGTTCCAAACCTAATCTACTAAGTTGTAAGCGAGCTCGATTTCGACCGTATGCAGATAGTCCCCTCATTTTTCGGAGAGTAGATGACGAGAAGCGATATGAACTTCCTATGCTGACTTCGATATTTTGTGACAGAAACGACAAAACAGTTGAAACATCTCGTTAGTCAAGTTTTAATGGCATTAAATGCTCGTCAGTTGCCGGTCGGCCATTCCCAGATGTGAACAGTCGCTGGAAAACTATAAATACCCCATCATTAGTTCATTCAAACTTTACTTTCAAACCTTCTTACCTCGTACCTTAGAGATTTCAACACTTTCAAGTAGGGGTGTTCAAACCGAACCGGAAAATCACACCAAATCGAAAAGTCAAACCAAACCGATTAAAAAATCCGATTAGGTTTGGTATCGAGTAAAAAAATCTGAACCAAACCGACATATAAATATATAATTTTTATATATACTTCTAAGACTTTATATAGAATTTTCTTTAAAAAACATCTAGACATATTTGGGATCCTCTCATGGGATGTAATATTTAATAGAACTATGAAGTGCATCCATTTTTATTTATTTTAAATAATGGGTTGTATCATCACTTAAATTCTTATATCTTTTCCGAATTTAAAATGGTATTTCAAAATTTTAAAATTAAATAGACATATTATTATTTAGGTTCCATATTGATTTTTATATATAATTATTAAATTCGATTAACCTTAATAGTATACATCAAGTTATTGTTAGATGACTAAGAAAATAACTATCATGTGCTACTAAAAAACTACTCCTATAAGAATATATTAATAGATAGTAAGTTTGTCAGTTTTTTCAAATTTACTAAATATATATTCACTTATCAAAACTTTATCTACAATTTTAACAAAGTAAGATTGAAATAATACTCATGTAACAAAAAAACCCGAGAAACCCGAAAAAACCGACAAAACCGAACCAATCCAAACCGATATAGTTGGTTTGGTTTGGTTTTGATCAAATTCGAACCAACCCGGTCTATGTACACCCCTACTTCCAAGCATTAATTTTCTGGTTATTCTGAAATCCTTTTATAAGAACTTCTGATCTGTCTTTATCCCAAATCATCAAGCATACTCTTTTAAATCCCTCATTTTCCTTCATTTTAAAAGAAATGGCGAAGACTTCAAAATCCGTATCCCAAAAAGAAACTCCCTCTTTCTCGCGGCCGGCTACCGAGGAAATTGTCTCACGCACTGCTATCGAGGAACCAGTAACGAAGCCTCCTCTAATAATGTTTATTCCCGGAGGGTGCCCGGTCAATGCCGATTTCAACGTTGAAAAACCTTCTTCCGTACCAGGCCGATGTGAGGCGGTATCGAGGTACATATGCTCGATTACCGAGGATGTTCTCTATGAAGTAAGAAAGGATTGCAACTAGGCTGACAAACATGTGGTGGTTCCTGAACCTGACGAAGCCATCACCACCCACGTCGAGGGATTTTTAATTGTTTACACTTATCCCTTCACGTTGAGTCCCTTGGACCCGGTCATCATTGACTTCTGCAAGAGATACGAGGTAACCTCAGTCAGATTCACCCCTCTTTCTGGAGGATCGTAATCCTCCTCCATTTCTTTGTGAGCAAGATCAAGGGGTGCCCTTTCACGATCGACCACCTTATGCGTTTATACAGCCCCCGACTCTACCGGGAGGACTGACCAAGCTTGCCCGTTGGGCTAGTAAAGCCGCATTCTCAAGTATCGACGAAGATAGGAATCGAGGATGGCTAGGTTGTTTCGTCCGAGTGAGGACCTCGAATTTGATCTCGGCCGAGTGATCTCGTCCAAGCCACACCTCTATTTGGGGTTATGAAACGGTCGGAGCAATAGTAATACCCAACAAAGAGTCGGGGTCGATTTTCCACACGGAGCTATGAATGGGGTTTAGGAGTATATATTCAAGTGAATGAGTTTGAATTTCTCGGATTACACTTCCGCAAAAGTTGGTTTGTTTTTAAATCTATTTTAAACTAAGAATGACAACTAAGAATTAAAACTAGCAAATTATAGTTGTTTGTTTTTCAATTGGTAAAAAGGCATAGGGCTATGTCCTTCACCTAGGTGTTCGCTTAATGGGCTATAAGCCTTAAAGCTTGTTTCTTGGTTGGGGTATATTATAGCTATTAACACTCAAGTACCCACTCAATACCTCTCGGTCAGAGAGTGATTTTGCCCAATTTGGTTTTCTCAAGTCCAAATGGGTATTGAACAAAGCAGTTGATAATAAGTTCAAGTCGGGTTGTACTATCTCGAGGTACAACCCTTTAATTTGGTTTATCAATCTCTCGATTGACCTAATTTCTTGCTAGCCAAGTTTTCCTAGACTAAGT